GTTCAAGGTATCATACCAAGTGATACCTAAGGTTGCATAAGCAAAATTCTCTCCCTTCTCCTTTTCCCTAAAGCCCGATACATTCTGTTGAAATCTGTTTCAAAGAGTCCCTCAGCTCTACAGAGCAGATTCTGTCGGAGATAGGGCTCATAGGTATGTATCGTTCTATTGATAATATAGATGAAATCTGAGACACCTATTTTGTTCAACTAGAAGGAACACCTCAACTTAGATGCAAGGCTGAAAACAAATGTAAAGATAAGAACAATACCTTTAAAGAAAAACTCAGCTTTTACTCCAGGAAAATACACAGCAAGCCTTCTTCTAGACCATGTTTCTCAATCTTGGCAACTTTAAGATGTGTGGACTTCAGCTCCCAGAATTCCCAAGCCAGCATGTTCTAGACAATATTACTATGATTAAAACTGCTTCTAGTGAAGCCTTTGAAGCCAGAAAAAGAACAGTACAGAATTTCAGCCCAGAAGTCATCCATGTTCTGAACAGTAAAGTAACACATAGATGGAAAAGCCAATAGGATCAAGTCCCAGAAGAGGCCTGAGTATCATCAGTATCATCAAAATTGTTGCAGAGATGGTTAGGATCTGAGACCAACAAAGAGATCAACTTGTCAGTGGAAGGCTCCTCCCAAAGGCTCACCCTAAGACAAGAAGAGTCATTCTGTCAACCTGCTTTGTGAAAGTCTGGCAAAGATTATGAGAGTTAGAAGTATTTCATTCCCAAGATATAACAGGCAAAGGCTATTCCTATTCAGTGGGATATGCTCCCTTTGGCAGCATGAGCATCTTAAAAGTGGGCCTCCAAGCACATAGGTCAGCCAACTTTCATATCTGAAACTTTTCTCCTCTTTAATATCCATGAACATTTGCAAAGAAAAGAAAGCAAGCAACATTTGGATACAAAGGAATATGGATGAAGGAGAAAGGAAAGTACTCTGAAGCTATGCAATAAATATACAAATTAGTAGAAGTTATACTTTAGGTACACATAGTACATTAGGGAAGTGAGGCTTCTGTCAAACATTTCTAAATTCTGGAAAGATTCAAATACAGGTCTGCAAAGATGCAAAAACATACTTGCAAGTTTAGAGACTTTCCCTAAGCAGTTGACTGTAATGTTCTCAGCAATAAACAGTCTAATAAGAGTTACATGAGAATTCTTATTTGCTGGAAGTCTTCAAAGAGAAGCAGAAGATACCCTAGATTTCCTGCAATGAACAAGCCTAACCCAATTGACCTCCAGGACTTTTCCAATTCCAAGATCAAAGGGCAGGACATAATGCCCTTTCTATAACTGATGTTGTCTACTGGCTACTAGGAGCAGAATTCTACAAAATTAGAATATATTATGTATGCTTAAATTTTGATTGTAATACTTGCAACATTCAGATGTTCTTAGTGAAGAATTTTCTTTAAATGTCATTAAATTATTATGAAAGCTATTACCACTGCCACTGAGTCTTCAAAGTGCTTCACATATATAGTCTGTTCCAGTCTTCTCCATCTAATGCCACTAAATATGTTGGTCTTCAACTCAAATAATTTCACAATTCATCCTAACAGCTACAAAAGCTCTCCTTTTATGTGCATTTCTGTGCAAGAAAGGGGATTTTCTAAGGTGATGCTCAGTGTACGTATTAGAAGAAGAATATAAGTGGAGCCATTGGATATATAGATGGAATAAGCATACGCCCTTTCATTACACATAGTAAGATGCATTACCGGGCATGGTGAAGAAAGAATCATAGGAACTTTTCAACAGAGCAGACCATTTCTCCTATCACCCAGTACTGTCTACTCTGCTTGGCAGCAGCTATTCAAAACTTTTGCAAGTATCTTGTCTACCATCTGATCTATGACCCATTTAATTGGAGGTTCTAGAGACTGTGCCTGGAACCTTTCAATATGAAAAGCATTGAACCACTACTTCTTTCTCTACAGGCATGCTTCCATGTATCTAGCTGCCCAGAAAGAGGGACTGCTTCCCTAATCCTTCATAAGATCTGATCCTAATTAAATAACATGTCCATAACAATGAAGGTAGTCAACATACTGGGAAAAAGCAAGGAAGCAAGGATGTTAAGTGGAACTCTGTACAAGTGAAACCATTGTAATATATCCAGCTTACCCATGTTCACAAAATTGGTCATCCATTCTACTAACTGCTTGAGTTTATGTAACAGAATCACACAGATCACTAAGCCAGATGGCCTCTCTCATATACTACTTCTTTCTGAGGACCAGATGTCAAGGTAATTACAAGTGGAAAACTGAAGTAGTTTATGCCAATAAAATATCAAAAGTGCTAATATTGTTTTGTAAAATCTTTTTAAATATTTCCACCTGTCAAAAAAGAAGGCATATATAATAGCTACCTTATACTGCATACCACACCACCAGGCATATGGAAATATTTTTAAAATGATGAATGGCTCTCTTTTGAAAAGTTCCCCTGACAACTTCTGCAACACTATCTCTAGATTTTTAAAATAAGACATTTCTCCTAACTGAGGAAAGCTTCTTGTTGGACTCAGTTTGTCCCTTTTAGAAACCCTAACCAAAATATACTAGCTAACCTATAATTACTATTTATATGGCATTTCATTTTATTAACCAATTTATAGAAGTGGAAAAACCAGTCAAACCACAGACAGAAATCTTGATTATACAGAAGACAAAAGCAAGAAAAATCTCACACACACAAAAGAATTTTGGGTAGATCAAAAACTGACCTGCCACATGCAGAAGGGGTCTTCCTTACAGGCAGATAATATTATGTCTTGCACTAGAGCACTGCATAAATCCAGAGATCTGGCAACATGGTGGGTAAATACAGGTAGTCCCCGGGTTAAGAACGCCTGCTTTATGGATGACCCATAGTTAAGAACAGAGCCTATTGTAGCAAAATTCAAGTTAAATACACAATGATTCAAGTTAAGTACACAATACTACTTATACAGTATTATATAATAATACTGTTCCAGCTTACATACAAATTCGACTTAAGAACAGACCTTGGGAACTGAACTCATTCTTAAACTGGGAACTACCTGCAGAATCTTGTGCAGTGTTACAGAGCAAACATGCTACATAATATAGGTGGCTATCTCTACACTCTGAAGGGCACAATTAATATCCCTCGCATCTCTACTGCCAGTGAATATTTAGAATAGCTTCTATATTTCAAACATTTTAAAGCAAAACAACAAATCTTAAATCAATGCATTTCACATTTTAAACTAAAATCTAAATACATGAATGTAATGAAGTTTGCTTTCTAATGTGAAATGTATTTTCTTGAGAAGAAACAATGTCTGCTATGGGAACAGAATAGTGTCTTTTTTCAGAAGAGCTATACAATAATATACTTGTTAAATTTTTAAGGTTTGCTGTTAACAGGCTAGAAAGTCTATTCCAACAGAAAATAATAAATGAACATATTTAACTATATCCAAACTTGGATGACTGCCCCTTACTACAAAGAAAGGGAGGGGAGGGGAGGGAAATACTATTAGCTCTGTCAGGCTCCAGTATATCCATACTGTCCCAGGCATTCTTGTCATGTTACCAGCTGCTTCCTGAGCAGTTGCCTGGAGACCTCCCAGTCTGAGGGACTCTGGACTCTGGCCCTAACAGCCATATCTAACAACCCCTGCCTGCATGAACTGTGTGGGCAAGCTCATGAGCATAAATATTATGGGATAACTAAGATTTTATTGGATCCAAACTCCTCTCATTTTTCTAGTAGAGAGAAAAAGCTGTCTAATCCCAGAAATGGTGCAGTCAGTGGGAGGGAAGTGCTTTTAATGTACAGCCAAGTAGAAAATAGGGAAGGGGAAAAGGCCCCATATTCTGAACTGGCTTGTTTGACCTAGGAGAGTTTAAAAAGCAGAAATTTCTCCACAATAGCCAAACCACCTAAGATTTTTCTACCAGTGGACATTCAATAAGGCTTTCCCATGGATTATGTGATACATATCAAAGATGATGTGATAAATTCACTTTCTCCACCTACCCATCCACCACTAACTTCTCTGTTCTCTCTTCTTTAGTATGCTTTTTTTTATTTATCCCAAATTCAGTTGTGTTAGGTATGACACATCTTTTTTTTAATTATTTTTTTCTTCTGTACATTTCCCATAATTCTTTATATTAGGTAATTAAGCATCTACCATTTCCTTTTCCTGTTTGATTTTTTCACTTTCAACTCCACAAGATTCTTGCAAGGCTATTTTTTGCTTATTATAGATTTGTAAAGAATATGTTCTTCTTCTTTGTCTCAAATCACCTTCATCTCTTATCTGTTTGGGCATCAGAATCTAATTTCACTCTTAACAAGAATAATATGGAAAAATGGGAATATACTCAGAAAATCTAACACCACAAGAAAATGTACACACTACAAGAAAAGCAGACTTATGAAGTTAAGAGTACAAAGAAGAGTACAAAAATTAAAATAGACCATTTGCTCAGCAGAAGTAGATAGGATAAGGTTTTAGCAGCAAAAGACAAGCTCTTGGCTAGATTTCAGATCAAGTACACTGTTTTTGTAATTTAGAGTACATTTGTCATAATTAAATTTATAATTTAATCATCCTTAACTATACATACACAGGACAAGAATTGTTGACACATCTACCTAGTCAGCAAGCCCCTTTAGAACTTGTGCGTCTCTCAGGATTTAGAACTAGGAAATTGGTCAGAGATGTAGATTCTCCTGAAAAATAATCACATGGTGATCTAATCTAATGAGACGGCCTGTCTCCAACCCACACTCTTTCCTAACTGCCGTTAAATCCAATAATCTCCACCAATTAATAATCTCCATCAACTGTTTACATTTATCCAAATTGGAATGGTTTCGTTTTGCTGGAATAATTACACCAAACTTTAGCAGATATGAAAATAATCTTCTACTCATACAGTCCCAGAAATATCCAAGATGTTTTAAAATGCTCGTGTTGCTGAACAGTGAAAGGATACGTGGAGTGCCTTCTGTCCTACACACCAAGTAGAGGCATGCTGCTATGACATGGGTCATCTTCCTCCCACGGGTTAAGTGCTTGCTCACCGCCATTTTGAAAAAGTTGAAGGCTGTATCAAGACAATGCTGATTTAGTTGCAGCTGGTTCCCTAAATGATGGATCTGGCGTTTTCCTTTAAGAAACAATAACAAAAATTACAAACCATTTGCAAAGCATACTTACAATTAAATAAAAACTAATGAATGACTATGTACTTAGCATGTTTTAACTGTGAAGCATTATACTCCAAAGATTAGGAATGGGATGTAAAAAATTCGTAATTTACATGGACAATAAGGTTAAAAATATGCCAAAGGTTTAGCAGCAACAGCAATTTCATTTGAAAATAAATAAACTGAAGGATACTTCACAATTTCTAATTAAAGGCATTCCTTGTTCATTTGAATGCAGAATAAATGTTTTGATATAATGCACTAGAAAAGCACAATGTTTAGGTATCACCAGGCCCCTAACCACAAAAAGACAAAACCACAACTGGAGGAATCTGTCCATCGAAAGAGTGTGTTCTCTAAGTTTTCCTTGTAGTGGTAGTGCTCCCTTTGTACAATCATATTTGGAGAGAGCTCAGCTGCCAGATTATATAAATTAGGTTGTGGCTTCTAGAAGAAGATGGACAGATTTTCTTGCCAAAGCTCTTTAGATCAGTTTCTCAACCTTGGCAACTTGAAGATATGTGGACTTCAACTCCCAGAATTGATTGCAGAATGATGATTCAGAAGATGATACAGCATGGTTGAAAGCATAGCACAGTACTAATAAACATTTTAGCTCTGTAAAACTGGGGCAAGAACAAAAGAAGGGTTAGATTCTTAAGAGATGTCTGGATAACTGAGTATTTCCTGAAAATTGCACTGAAATTTAAAGATCAGGATGCCTATGATATGGAGCCTAGAAATTTGTGATCAGTACTGGAACAAGGTTTAAATATCCTTCCATACAAAACTCCACTCCTGGTTGTCTCTAAGATCTTTAGTAACATATTGTGAAGATCTGACCTAGGGAAGAGAGCAATGAAGCATTAAGGGAGGAGAAAAGATAACTCAGTCCTGGGAAAGTGGAAAGCATGAGAAAGAAACTCAAAATAACCCCACCTTGATTTTGTTTGGTACACTATAAGAAAGTGGTATAAGATGGGGCAGAGAGAAACTGACAGGCTTTCAAGATTCTATTATTCTACTGTACAATAATACAGGGCATTCCTATAATCCCTGTTGCCTCTATTTCTTGACCTTGCCTACCTCTAAAGGCTGACACCTATTGACTGATGGGTGGGGAGGGGGTTGGCCTTTTAGTTGTTGTTAAACTATAGAGTGTGAAACTCTGCCAACGTATTACAAGTCATCCAAGGATATATAAGTTGATCCCATCTAACCTTCTGCCAAACTCTGGCTAACAAAATGCACAAGGTGGAAGATAATCAATGTTTTATTATCTATTCTAATCAAATAGCTTGCTAAAATATTAGTCTCTGCTGTCAGGAACACTATTCTTCTAGCTTTATGCTGAAAAAGTGACTTATGTCCTGGGAATTATAATTTGCTACTGCTCAGATTAATTAATATCATGGAAGAAGACTCCTTGGTTCTTTATTTTAAGGATCATTTGATCAGTATTGGGTACATACATACTGTATTTAATACCTTGCTTATCAAATCCTTGTTTTTAATCAATTGCTGCCTGTGAGTCTATGAATATAATTTTAATATGCAATCCACAAAATAGCTTACTCATTCCAATTCAGATTCTAAACTGCTGCCAACGACTGGGAAATTATTAATGTGCTATCCTTGGTAATTAATTACTTTGATTTAAGCCAACCAAGCTTTAACTGAACCACCTGGAGACTCTCTGTATGCTTGTCTCTATACAAATCCTTTCTTAAGGGGCCTTAAGAAAACCAGGCTCCACTGGTGCCATCTTCCAGACAAGACCAACATCAACAAGAAATGCCAATTCCCCTATTACCAAATGACAGTTCTAGCATTATTTTTCTAATTAAATTAGATGAAATTGCTCACACGTGCCAAAGCTGCACTAGACTCTAAAGTAGACAATAAATCAACTCTTCTGAACAAGCTGTGCCAATCTGTAATTTAAATAGGCTGCCCGGGTTAATAAGCAATAACATTGTTAATTTCCCTATAACACAGCATAGTATATCCACAATTTTTCTCATCCATATACCTTAAAAAAAAAAAGGATAATCTGTTCTCTCATCTTAAGTCAAGCCCAAAAAGAAATTGTTCCTGCAGGCCACAGAGCAGCTGTTTCTCTTAGGACTGTTTATAACATTTCCAAATTGCTAGATGAAAACCTATTTCAAGTAGGAAACAGTATGAAACCAGCACAGAAACTGTAATGTGATCACACATATATATATATTCTCGCATACAGCTGTGCTGGGAGGTTGCAGTGAGCTGCAGCTTCCCACACAAATCCAGTGCGTGAACTTACAATGAAAATACACACTATGATTGCTATGTTACAATCTATATAACTGACTGCAAACTAACTCCTATGCAGAAATATTTTCTCTCCACCAATTTTGTAATGCTTGGTAAAACCTTTATTTTCCTTACATGAGAAATACTGTAATTTAACACTTGACGGTAATGAAATGCCATTCCATCCAGCTCTGTAAGCAAAACAATGTGGTTTTCTTGCAGTTTTACGCTTTTTCAGCTAGTGGCATGGGTGTATTTTTGTATATATGCATGCGATACAAGGAGCATATATCTAAATCTCAAAGCCTCTGCACAGTATTACCTGAAGTACAAACATCAGTAAATATGTTCTACTGATAGCAAAGTCTAATGATTTGGCTTATACCAGGGTTTGAAATGTTCCAAAAATCTGAGATTTTGCAAACATTCAGCATTTAATGAAAGAGCCTTGCTACATTAAAGACTTTTTCACTGATGTTTGCATGAGTAAGTAGCAGGAGACTTTCAGGAATTCTTTTCATTCCTGTGTCTTTCCTCCTCCTCCAGCTATCTTT